GTAGTACACAACGATGTAAGTCTTGTAGTTTCCGAAGACTATATTATGTTTATCGTGGTCGTAAAATAGATCATGGACTCGAAACTCGAAAGTGTTGTTCGTCCAAGTAAAAGTCACTTAATGCACATTAGGTATGGCCCACTCAACATTGGCCCACCTAACGAATATTTTCTGACTACGTACCTGCTGACTACTAGCATATTAACTCAAAGGGATACTCAATTATAATTCATAAAATAATATAATAAATATGCTTTTAAAAAAAAAACGTTTCATATGATGTTATATTGTGATAACATAACATTAAACATAATTCTCAAAAATATATTAATATTTTTCACTACTGGCTAGATTTTGGAGTTAAAATTACATTACAATAATAAGTAATTACCACATAATTCAATATTTAATTTTTGTCACACGGAACACGCTTCATAAAAAGAAAGAATTGGATAAGAAATTGAGTTTTTCATCTTTACGCACGTGTGATTACGAGAAAGTGAGGCAGGTCAATGAAACCCAATTGTATTTTAAGGTTGCCATTTAAAGAAATTTAAGTAAATGTATATGTATAATATGTATAATTTATATGTTATTAATTATTATTTTCATTCATATCATTATGTATTTATTTTAGTAGGCATGTAAATCAAATAAATAAGTATCGAGTTCATACATTATATGATGTTCATAAACTGATAATTAGGTATTAAACAATACTTTGTTAGTTTTCCAAATTAGTGAAATTCGATTTATTTTTTAAATGAAAAATAGTACAAAGTAAATTGTTAAAGGACTTTGAACATTGAATTATAAATAATTCGGTTAACTAGTGCAGTTGACACAAATCTCGTAATTATTTATCTATATTCAGTAGGTACCTACTCTTATCCTTGGACTTGATCATACCTAAACAATTATTAAATTTATGTAGATAGATCGTAGGTATACACTAACCACGAACAGAATTTTTTTTTTTATTGGTCTTAAAAATTAACTCGGCAGCAAGGACCATTAGTTATTATAATAATGTATACCCTATTCATACAAAACATTTAGATTTTAACAAGCACCTATTTAAATGCTCATAAGATAATTTCAAAAAGTTTATTCTTTTTGAATTTAAAATGTTTTTTACTGGATCAATTTACTCACCAAAAATAATGATATTGAAGAAAATTGTAAAAATAAACTACATGACTTATATTAATATTTTTACAGGTAATATTTTTCTAAAAACTTGATTTTATGATAACTATATAAATTGGATTTTTTGATTTTTCAAAAAAAAATTGTATTTGATTTTAATATTTTAATTTTTAGTAAATGATTAATAAGAAAAAAATGAAAAACTGTTAGGTATTTTTGTAACAAGCTTTAGGTACCTACCTACCTTAATAGTTAACCTATAATAGCTTAAACTAATTCTGAATTTGACACCAAACTCTATACATTTTTAGTATATTTATACCTGTTATAAAGAAATTGTACAACAATGCTATATAAAATATAATACAATATACCTAACTAGTTATGAAGATCAATCAGAGTAATCCATTTTGAATAATTGTTATGGTTTAGTTTGAAAAATCACAAATGATTCATCAGCCTAAGAACAAAATTTAAATTTAGCACATTCAATAATTCACAAATGTGTGAGTTTTAATAGCTTAATTTTCTATATTTTCAAAGTTATTTATGAAAACAAATACAATTCAATAAACTCATACTAATTACATAGGTAGGTATTAATAATATTTCTTAATATAATACATCTGAAAATTATAATTGGTGATTTTTATGACCACCAAACAATATCTATATTATTAAAATAAGTACGTACCTACCTATGACGGTATGAGATATGCAGTAATATAATATTATAAATGCTATATTTTTAATAAATTATTTTGCTAATTATAAAATACCTACGTAATAAGGAATAACGTAAACACTTATTATCTTATCGAATTTATGAATTATAAATGAAAAAACTATACTGTTTATGTTTTTGTAAATTGTTAAATCTAATTTTGAATTTGAAATGTGTGATACAAATTAATGTATTCATTTATCAATTACCATTCTAAATACCAAATTTGTATTGATTTCTCCCAAGCTATAAGCAAAATTGTGCATTTATTTTGCATAATTTTTCTAATTTTCATTCATGTCTTTTAAAACACATAGTTTCCCAAACAAAATTCTTTAACTTTTATCCAGGCTCATAGTTAATTTTTAACTTTTTTGTTATTTCCCCAAACGGCCCAAACACTGTAAGGAAATGTAACAAATGAGTCATTAGTTATTGAGTTATTTACCAACGTACAGTGTACTCTAGATGGAAGACCACGACCATCACTATCCTCAATTGAAGATAACTCAGTGGATTCATTATTAACTGAAGGCTCATTCGGCTTATTCTTGTTTTATATTTTTAATTAAATAGAACAAATTGATATAATTATAACTTATATAAATAATATTGCTAAAAGTTCATTTTTAAATGTAACACTGATCTTACCTCATCTTCGTTTACTTTGTCAGCTTTTGATTTTTTGCAAAAAAAAGAAAGAATAGTATTCTTTCTTTTGTTAGTTTCATGCTCATTAGTGATATTCATACTAAAATACTAAATGTGTAGCACTAGTAATGGAAATATAAATTTAAACATACACAGTCACAGAGGCGTCAACAAACAGAAAACTATGTAAAACTATTAACTATGATATTTTGATATATTATTACTTATATTAGTATGTTACGTGGGTAGTAAAAAACGTAGTCACATGAAAAACAACGGTCGTTTTGCGTCAGTGATTATCAGTTTATCATCACAATTATTACGTATCGAAAAAACCACAGATGTCTATAAATAGAAATTTGTAGGAAAAACACTTGATTGATCTATGGCAGCGTTTCCTGAAGTGTGTTCCGCGGAACCTTAGGGTTCCGTGGGACTATATCAAGGGTTCCGCCAGATGTATGAGATTATTGAGAAAATTTTTTTTTTAACTAAGTTTAATAATGAAAAGTCATTAACAGTATCATTAAAATATCATTTAGACTTGAGAGTTTAGAGAATTGATTATCCTTTTTTTATTTAGAAAAATTGTAGTTTAGTTGGATTAGACATTAGGGTTCTACGAAACACAAACAAATTTTTAAGGGTGCCGTGGTCGTAAAAGTTTGGGAACCGCTGATCTATGGTATTGCGTTTCGCGTATGATTGTAATAATATGATAGACGAAATATATAATTTGAGAGCCAAGATAAGTACATGGTGGATTATATCCGTAATTATAATATATATTTTACATGTCAATGCATTAAACATTTTTAAAAAAAAGACTCTGGGGGATCTATCCCCATCATCCCCCCCCCCCCCATAACTACGCCACTGGAGTACACTATTTTAATCTTAGATCATATTATACTATAGTATATGATCTAAGATTTTAATTTTCAATCTACGTAAATGATACCATGGAATAATGGAAATAACCTTAAGAGGACGTCGTACCCGCATAAGTTATAGTTAAGATCATTTTTAAATGTATAGTTTTAAAAAGTTCATAACTAACTTAAAAATAATATTATCAACTAAAGCCCACCTGGAGTTGTAGATAACAATCTTAGATTTAAATTGAATAATAAGTCAATTCACTCTAATATCAAAACTACCAGCACACTATTGAATCTGGTGAACGAAAATGTGCTATGTCATACGTGTGTAAGACGGAGACAACACACGAGGCTACGATGTCCTCTTAATTGTATTAGATAGCCGATTGTAAAAGCCAAAAAAAATCACAAATCTCTGTCATTTACAAAATTTGCAAATTTATAAATATTTTATAGATGATGTATTTTTATTCACATTGAGATGTACACGAGAAAAAAAATTATTGTCATTGCGACCTTATAAATTATTTAATTTCTAACAGCATAATATTATACTTAATTGTATGGCTAGTATACCATGGTGTTAAGTTTGAGAATACTTATAATAAAGTTATTGAGTGAGTGCAGGGTGATTATTTAACAGCGAACACTCATCTCGAGTAAACACAGTAAAAACAGTTTGGAAATATTTTTTAAAGACATTTGAATCATTTGATGCATAAAAATCGAATTTTGAACGAGTAGTTAATTAGTTATTACCAAGTACCTATTTAAAGTTTATGTCAGTGTTGAGAAGTGGCACAGGGTACTCTGGGTCGGCAAAGTGGTTAACCAGTAACCACTATAGGAACCTACATACTCCATTAATTGTTGGTAAATTGAATACCTACTTATAATAGTTATAACTTATAACCAATTAACTGTTCGTTCGAAATTTAATTTTCATGTTCTGAAATTCTTTAAATAGTACTTAAATACTTTGAAAATTATGACGATGAAAATAGTAAAATATTATTTTGTAATAAATTCTGAACACGGCTACAGATACTAATATCTGCGATTCTGACGCTGTAAATTAAATTATTTCCAAAAGCTAATACTTTTTGGGATGAGTTCTAACTTCTAAATATAAAATACCTAACTTAAGGAACCACCCAATGTAAGTTAAGTAATTTCAATATGTCATCATATCTCACAGTGAATTAAATATCCCTATTCATCTCAAATTTAAAAAAATACAAATATTGTCTTGGGTTTATAGATTAGGTATAGATAAAGTTATGTTTGACGACCTTGTTTTGGGCGGCGTATTTTGACCATATCATTAATTTTACTTTTACCGCCTGTAACTTACCTGTTATAATTATATGGTGGGAAATTAAAAATTACTAACCGTATAAGAAAAACTACGAAATTATTAAGTTTAAATAGGTACCTTATTTATAATTATAAATCGTAATATAAGCGAAATAGCTAAAAACTTAAATATATTTCACTGATTTATTTTATCAAGTGATGGTTTTTAAAAATAAAATGTTACGAAACGAATACAAAAAGATCAATAATCACCATTACATTCGTGCATAATGTTGTAGGTGTGTGCGGATTTATTGATCTTTGGTTTCTGCGAATAACCCTCTGCGAACAGATAAGGTACTCAATGTTGAAGCCAGCCGTCGTCTTTCTGCTGTTTGTAGCGCATATCAGTCAACTGGATAGTAAGGACACAGAATTTCCTCCACTTTTCGAAGACCTGCTTAATTACCTAATAGACGGCGTAAATTATGAAAAACGTCAGACTCGTGACCAGCGGTACGAGTTGACAGAATATGATTTTATCATAGTTGGCGCCGGTTCCGCCGGAGCAGTACTGGCCAATCGTCTCACGGAGGTAAGCGAACATGTCACATGATAATATTAATCATCGCTTACATAGAATAAAACGTAACTTTTCTAAAATATGTGGTAAAAAATATATCATGTTTCGTAATTACAAAAAAATGAAACGTAAAATATTTTAAATTTGAGTGGAATACCTTATTATAGTTAGGTATAACAGCTGTTTACAAAAGTACAAATAATAAATAAAAATTGCAATCATCTTAGGAATTAGATACTAGATCTAACTTCCATGGAAATAATATTATATAGCTTCAAGCTTGGCACTAGACACTAGTATAATAAATTATATACCACTGATCAATATGTATATGTCTTGTCAAGCCTTAAGAGCTAGGGCCAAAATTAAGAAAAGACCCAAAAATAAAATAAAGGCCCTACTCCCCCCCCCCAAAAAAAAAAAAAATTTAGATCTGCTCACGCCTATGGACTATGAGGTACAAAATATAACATATTATAACTGTACACATAAATATAGAATTGAATAACTTAATATAATAATATTGTACTGCTATGATGACGCCTCAGGCGAGAGTTTGGTTTTTGCGTCTCAACCATGCAAATCAAGTATCAATAGTTGAACCAATGGCACACCTACTTGTTGTTTTAGGTGCACGAGTGGAATGTACTGCTAATCGAAGCCGGCGAAGAAGAACATTTTGCGATGGACGTTCCTCTGCTAGCCAACATGTTACAGTTCACCGATGCTAATTGGAAGTACAAAACAATGCCATCCGATAGTTATTGTAAAGGTAATAACAGTATAATACTAATATTTGTGTATAGATAGAGAATTTCAAACAATATTTAGTTAGTATCTACTGACTACTAGACTGCGACCGTCTGCGGACTAAGATATATAAATATCAAATAGTCAACTTATATGGTACACTCGTCATTCATATTGTACATATTGTGTATCCATTATCCGCCATTCATTGAATATAAGGTAAACAAATCCACAAGATTGCATCAAATCTATAATTAAATCGTGAACTGAGAAATCAATAAAACGCTGAATAAAATGGATGGTTTACGTTTGGGCTAGTAGCTAGTTGGATAAAATCGCAATTTATGTGTTTGGGGAAGTTGTTTTTCAAGTGGTTAGATACACAGCCCGCTGAAGCAATACGAAAGTAATTCCCGCGGCGTCGTTGGTTCAAAACTGAAAAAAAAATATACATAGATATCATTTTCAATCGAAAATAGAAATTTTTCGTTTATTTCATTTTGTAGCAAAAAATAAAAAAAAATTTAATTTTAAGATCCATATTTGGTAAGAACAGAAGAATAAATAATGAGTAATAAGTAATAACTTACTGTAACAATAACACTAGCTCACGTTTCTGATGTTGGAGCAAAACATCATATGATATTTGTGCCATAATTAGGAAATTTTGGTGGATATAATATAATATAACATTGTATTATATTCAATCATACACAGTACAAGCACAAACACATAGTACTCAAGAAAATAACTATTATATTAACTATTCTGAAAATTACTTTAAATTTGCCTACACAAAACCCCTATAAATACAACTAATATTTATAAAAGGTAACTTGCACAACAATTATAAAAACCCTTTATGCGAAGAAACCACATTAAATAATTAATGTTCACATTAACACTGAATTCTCAAATAACTATACTTACTTTACATACACGCGTAAATGTTTACATTTTTCCATTCGCAAACAACTAACACCAATCATTTTCAAAATTGTTTTATTTAACTTCTGTATGATAATAAAAAAGAGTCAAGTTGTATGATTTCGACTAGATATATATTAGTTATTTTAAAACCGATTTATAATTGATTGGTTTTGACTACTATTTTAATTACAATTTCTAACAATTGCAAATAAAAATAAATACAATTTATGAAAATAATTATTATGTACTATTACAATGAAATATTTTTTAAACTTCATAACTTTATTTGTAGGATAAAGTTGTTGTTATTTTACATACCACAGTATAAATTTGGAAAATTTTTATAAAAAATATGTTTTATTTAACTTGATAATACATTCAAAATTATACTAAGCTAGTGCTGTGTTAATGTAATGGGAAGGGTGAAATTGTTTTATAATGACATAATTTGTTAAGGACTGTTTTATTTATACTTAAATGTCAAAAAAAAAAAAAAAAAACATGTATAAATAAAATAAAAGGAATTGGTAACAATTCACAGCCCCGTGCAATACATATTAATCAACACGGCACATAGCTGAGCAAACATAACAGTTAGAATTATTCAATAGGAATGTCTATCAATAATTCCTAACTTCAATGTTAATACAAATACACATACACATATTAAAAATATATAATAAACACATTTATAGATAATTCAATTACATTTGTTGAAAGTTGAAAAAGTAAAAGGTTATTAAGGTTATTAAGGTAATTAAGTGCTAGAGAATAATAATAAATATAGTAAAATGTATTCGATCAAGCAAAATTAAATTAAAATAAATATAATGGGTAACATACAATGACTAAATATTTCACTATTATGGTTATCCATAAAATGGCATAAATAATAACGAAATTTGAAACCAAAATAAAGGAATTAGAAGCTTATACAAAGACAAGATTATAAAAGTTTTTGATCATGTTACAATAAATTTAAAATGAAAATAATTTAATAGAAATTGTAAACAACAATTCTATGTAAAAATTCTATTTTACCCCAGGGATTTTTGATAAGACTTTAGTTAAATCAACACCAGTTAAAGCTTGAACAGCTGGAGGTAATTGTCCAACTAATCTGTTAACTTCTGCCGTTACATTATTATTTCCACTTAATAATACAATTTCCTCAGTCTTAGACAAAGGTGAGACTATTTCAGCAGCAATTTTTGGCAATGCATCCATAATTAAAGACATAACGGCGGCTTCTTCATATTGTTTAAATACTTGTGCTTTCAACATCATCCCTTGAGCCTCAGCCCTACCAACGGCTTCTATTGCTGATGCTTCAGCAAGCCCAATTTTCTTAATTCGTTCGCCTTCTGCTGTTGCGACTTCAACTGTTTGAGTTCTAAAAAAATTTAAAAACAATACACATTGTAGTTTTTTTTAAATTAATAATTAATGTTATTTTACCTCTTTCCCTCAGCAATTGCTTGAACACGATAACTTTCAGCTTCAGCAGGCAGCCTAACAGTAGAATTCAATTCTCTTTCTCTACGTTCAACTTCCTGCACTTCAATTTCAATTTGTTTCTTTCGCTCAACTACTTCAATTTGTATTTCTTCATTTCTGATTTTTTGTCTTATTTTGGCTGCTTGTAATTCATATGCTAACTCTGCTTCAGCTTTTGCTGTGTTAACTTCCATATCATATTTAGCTTTTTGAAGCTTAAACATTCTTGAGTTATCTTCAATCTTTGTGTCTGTTCCATATTTTACATCCATTGCCAACTTTTCACATTCAGCTTCTCTAATACCTGCATCGCGGTTAGCAAGTGCAACTCCAATGTCTGCATCTCTTTTCACTGCTGCAGTTTGTGATTTTCCAAGTGAAGTTAAATATTGAACATCATCAAACACATCTTTTATAGTGAATGATAATATCTCAATTCCCATACGACCAACATCAGGTGCAGCTACTTCTCTTACAAGAGATGCAAATTGATCTCTATCTTTATACACTTCTTCAACTGTTAAAGTACCCAAAATAGCTCTTAAATGACCTTCTAGAGTTTGAAGCACAGTTTGCTTAATTTCTTGGGTAGTTCGACCAAGGAATTGTTCAGATGCTGTTTGCAGGAGTTCATCAGCTTTCATTATTTTACACTGAGCTACTCCAGTTACAGTTAGTGGAACTCCATGAACAGTTTCAACAGTATCGCACATGGGATTCAAAGTCATGACCTAAAAAAAATATACATATATAAATATAACATTTAAAAAAATAAATATAATTTACACAATTATAACCTATTATTATAATTACCTCAAGAGATAGATATTGAACATCAGTAATAAGCCACCAAGCCCATGCCCAACCACCAACAACAGTTGTTCTCCTGGTTGATCCACAAAACCCACCTAAAAATAAAATTCAATGTTATAGGTCATGTAAACAGGCAGTGCAATTATCCAAGAGGCAAAGTAATGGGAGGTTCAAGCGTACTTAACTATATGATATATACCAGAGGTCACAAAAAAGATTATGATGGATGGGCTGAAGCAGGAAATGTTGGTAAGATTAAAAGTTATAAAACAAATATCTTATATATCAAACTTATTTAATTAAAAATTATTTTAGGCTGGAATGCAGACGAGGTATTTAAATATTTTCTTAAATCAGAAGATGCAAATATCACTACTCGAGATTATGGTTTCCATCAAGAGGGAGGCTACCTTTCCATATCAGAATCACCATATAAGAGTATATTAGCCAAGTCGTTTGTTCAGTCAGGATATGAATTTGGATATCCTGTAAGAGATTTAAATGGGAAATACCAAATGGGATTTAATTTTCACCAATTGACTATGAAAAACGGATTAAGACATAGTACCAATGTAGCGTTTCTTCATCCGATACGCAAACGAAAAAATTTATATATAAAAAAAAAAAGTCATGTAACTCGAATACTATTTGATACAACAGGCCGTAGAGCAATTGGAGTAGAATACTACAGAGGAAACAAAAAATATAGAGCTTATGCACACAAAGAAGTTATAATTTCAGCCGGAGCAATTAATTCTCCACAATTACTCATGTTGTCTGGAATCGGACCAAAAGATCACTTGATATCAAAAGGTATAAATGTTATACGCGATTTACAGGTAGGCCGTAATCTAATGGATCACGTGGCTTTAGGCGGATTAACATTTGTTGTAAACGATACAAGCTCAATAAAAACGCAAAGGGTTTTGGAAAACCCCATTAACCTGCATAATTTTCTAAAATATCACTCGGGGCCTATATCAATACCAGGAGGAACCGAAGCATTGGCTTTCTTCGACTTGAATCGTCCTAATGATATTGATGGACATGCCGATCTAGAATTATTATTTATAAATGGCGCTGTGAGCTCAGATGAAACTCTTAAAAAATCATTCGGAATTAATGAGAACGTATACAACAGTGTTTTTAAAAATACAGAACAAAAAAATACATACATGATATTTCCAATGATCATGAGACCAAAAAGCAAAGGATGGATAGAATTAAAAGACCGTAACCCATTCAGGTATCCAGCAATTTACCCAAATTACTTTTCTGACGAAAGGGATCTGGATGTAATAGTGGCAGGTGTAAGAATAAGTGAGCAATTATCACAAATGGATGCTATGAAACGTATTGATTCGAAATTATGGAAAGAGCCGATACCAGGTTGTGAGCATTTTCAATTTGACTCAGACGATTATTGGAAGTGTGCAGCCAGGCACCTGACATTTACCATATATCATTTAGCTGGAACGTGTAAAATGGGACCAATAGAAGATGCTACAGCTGTGGTGGACCCAAGGTTAAGAGTTCATGGGTTGAAAGGCCTAAGAGTTATTGATGCCTCAATCATGCCTGAAGTTATATCCGCACATACTAATGCACCAACCATCATGATTGCTGAAAAAGGATCAGATCTAATTAAAGAAGATTGGGGAATTATTATTTAAGTTTAGATATTTAAATTTGGAATAGTTAGGCCATTGTCTGTGATAAAAATAAAATAAAATAATTATATTAATAATAATTTAATTTATAAATAGTGTAAAATGTCTAAGTTAATTGTTTTAAGATGCGCTTGTATTAAATACATTTATATTTTATAGGTAAATGTTTTTATATTCTACTCATTACACCCTTTTTAGATAATTTAAAATGCCTAGTCAGAAATAATGAATTAAACATATTTACCTATCTAAATGGACTAAAAAATTAAAACAAATATTTATCAATTACCTACATTTTAAGGTCCTTGTTCAAAAACATATTTTTGAATGTTTGAAATAAAGCAGATTTTTTCACCTTATTCATTTTGATGGTACCTATTCCAAATGAAGGTAACATGAGCTGATTTGCGTATCATATGTTAATTGTAACTATTATACCCGTTAAAAACTGACAGATACGATTTTATGCTACTAGAAAAATGTAAATAGTATTCGATCAATGATGGTAAAGAATTATACAATAGTTATTAACGATAGAATCATAATATCGACAGTCATCAATTTGGGAAATTATTCATACACCGTATTGGCGTAGTAGGTACAATAGTATGTAAAAATACAATAATAGATACCATATTATTATGAAAATTAACTTATAAACCCAAACAGTTAATAAAATAAATTAAGTAAAAAAATTCAAAAAAATTTCAAACACATTTATATGTGTTAAATATTTTAAAATTTCATTCCATGTAGAAAGTTATAACTTTACGATTAATACTCTTTGAATCACATCAATTTCAAACGCTCCTAAGAAATATTTGTACAATCACACTAAAGTTGTTTTTTATAATTCTTTTAATCAAAAGTTATACGTGTAGAAATATTATTAGACGTCTACCTATACAATGTAACAGAAGTGAGGTACCTATTGAACATCCAAGTTTATATTTGTGGGTACAATAATTCAAAGCTTGTATTAATCTTCATATGCCGTTCATTTTACATATCGATATACATATAGTGTTTCGTAAATAAGTCAAATCAATTAATATAGCTGATCAAAACAACGATTTGGATGTTGGATAACATCCAACGATACAATTATACGCGGAAATTCGGTGAAATTACTTGGGGGGGGGGGCTGAGCCCAATACACCTATAGGCTGTAGGTACTACTATCAGATCCCCTCCCCAAGTGATTTTTGTCTATGGATACACTGAAACAATCCATGTTGGAACTGAAGACTTCCTCAAAAATCATAGGTAGTGATGATAGTAACGCGACAGTGGATATTGAGGTCAATACCAAGTACAGACTATATTTTAAAACAATTAATGAAACAAAATAAAATGCTGCTATGCATTTACTTTCATATCGAACAAATAATACAAATCAAAAAACCTAAGATATAGTAGAATTTGATTTGAATAAATCTTTACCTACCTGATTTTACGGGAAGAAGTAAAAATAACGATGCTTTGGATTGGTTGGATAGAGAAAAAATAAAGAATAAGTACACTTTTAATATAATTTCAATTCTTCATATTAAACTACGATTACTTCATACATTATACCTACAATGAATAAATTGTAAAATTACACTTATTAAAAGACCCAAGTAAATTGTTCTATAAGCAATTTAAAAACATTCAAAATACATAGACTTAAAAGTTTACGTATTACTCGAGCTTAAATGTTAACAAAATTCGTCAAAATAACAAAAATTTGTAAATTATTTTGTAGTTATAAATATCATTATAAAATGTTAAATTGAACAAATTAATTTGTAAAGCTAAGGCTTGACATTTAATAAATTTAATACAAGAGTACTCGAGTTCCTCGTAAGTAATTCTTAATAAAACCAAAAATCTTAAAAAATATATATATGAGCACAATGTTTTATAGGCATTTGATAAATACTATATTTTATGCTAAAATTAATTTCCTACTGTACTACTCATAGGAAATTAAATTGCTATAGCAATAGCAATAATATCATAAAATAATAAAATATTGTTAGTAATATAGGCTGATAACTAGTTTTTCGCATGCAATGATTCATTATTGAATTAAAATTTGACACATCCATTACAGTGACCCACTCAACACTTACTATACAGCAGAGTAGCTGTACCCACTTGCCCGCACCTTTTTTTGATTTTTAAATTTTCAAATTATTAAATATGGTTAAATTAACTTCGGAATTTACTCTCTATTCTTAAGTTTTAAATTCTATGATATATCGATATAGAAGAGATTGGATCATGACCGACTGGTAATTATTATGCAAATGAAAGGTAGGTACCTATAACACACATATAACTTAACTGAATACAAATATATTAGCAGCTAAAATATAAAGTTGACATTGAAATGTGGCAGACTACTTCTTCAGTCTAGTTAGAAAATGTTTTAAATGTAAAGTAGGTTGTAGTTGCCCAGTTACCTGTATTAATCAGCAATAATTATAAATTTAATAGGGCATAATATACGTGTTTAATATTATATGATTTCTAATAATATAGATCCCGGAATCACGAAACGGAATCTAGTTTGAATGTCATTGGTAACGCAGACTTCCATAAAAATACAATCGAAATTCAAATGTTTTCTTTTTCTTTTTTTAAAAAAATAAAAATTTTACGATTTTAGGGGTTTTTACTTACTTTAAGGATCATCCGTACACTTCCACACAAATTACAATAAACAAATATAATTTAGGTAGAAATAACGGCTACCGTGTGACCTAATTTTTTTCCGTAGTATAAATTCATTCAATCCGGTTTTAAAATTATAATTCTTTAATAAATAAATTATAAGAAAAGTATATACAATGGTTTATAAATATGATATGCGTTTTAGTTTTAGAGAACAATATTTCAATTTTGTCTTTTGCATACTAACAATGGATACATAATTGTGAGTATTAACTTCTGTTCCAAAGAGCATCTCATAGTAAATCATTAACATTAAATAAAAAAATGATTTGAAAACGGTAGGATTTATTATTTACCAAAATATACAATAAACAACAAAATTACATACTATCATTAGATTAAATTTACATAATATAATATGTCATGTCAGTTCATATTTTGTTTATTTAGTCGGTTAGTAGATAAAATAATTGTCGGGAGACGTAAGCATAGATTTTTTTTGAAGACGTTAAAAATATTTTCCTTTTTAAATAGAAATAGAATACGATTATTTTATTATACATACATCTATAATAATTCTCATGTTCAAAATAAAAACCTTCACTTTTAAATGATAATATGAGAAAACGGCAACAGATGCCGTAGCATATTTCTCGTCAAAAAAAGTTATCACAATATATTTCAATAAATAAAATATTTAAGGTACATATGTATATATGATATACATATATTGTAACTTTCAATAATATTATCGACACGTTCTAGTTTTTTTTTTAAATTGGAAATTTTATAATTCCCATATTATAATAGGTACATGTAGAATTTATACTTGATTATTTGTAAATGAAAAGAACGTTTACATTCTGAGCAGAGCAGTGCTCAAAATGGTAAATTTTACCAACTATTACGTTGGTAAAATTAATATGCCTTAAATAATATTATTATATTAATTTATGCGTTTACAATAAAAACAAATACTTATTTTCAGCCTAAAAAAATGGAATTATACTATTCAGATTTTATAATAATTTCCTCAATGCTTAGTAATTGATGCCCATTTTTTTTTCATCGCAAGAAATTTCTGCTCTGCAGAGTTTACAATAATAAAGGTAATCGCGGAAGTTATTAATTTGATTGGGTTAGTGATGTGTTAAATTTCAATTCAATGATATGAAATCATTGTATACCAATAACAATTCTGAGTGAAGACAGCCTGTCAGTAAATATTAGGTACTACCTAAGTAAATTGTAATTTACTACTAGTAATACACAGTAAGTTGAACTGATTTATTCCGAAAACTTCGCATTTTAAAATATCATTATGTCGATAAAATATTATACAATTTAAAAGTATAGTACATAGTACATAGTTTTAGTTTTAGAACCCGCGAATAATATTTTTAAATTACAACAAAATAGCTATTATTATTAGAGACTTTCCATTATATTAGATATTTTATCTAATTTCGTTCAAATTTAACTTAAAATGTATACTTTAAAAGAACTATGTACATAATTTTTAGATTTTTTGGTTACAGTGTGAAAGAAATACCTATGAAAAACATTGTTTTAAATTTTCAATTCTTAACTATGAAAAACTGATAACGCTCTGTTAGATGCCTAGACAGTAGATTTGAATTCAATAATCATTGTATCCAAAAAACGATTCTAAGTTAATGGGGTCTGTCAGCTGTCTACAATATTTCTAAGTAAATATTATGATATTATGGTGATTAAAGTAATTTATTTTCCTATTAGGCATTAGTACTACAATGCCTACGTTAAAATAATTTTTTCCAAAAAAATTTGAAAACGTCAATTTTTTAGATGTTTTGATTATAATATGAATTATTTACAAGAACCCTTGTTTTAAATTTTCAATCCTTATCTATAAAGATTAAACATTCCATAATTGTAGACCTATAGAATAATTTGAACATTTTCAAGATTTTGATAAATTTTTTCAGAATTAGAACTTTTAAAAATTATAAAAAAAACTTGCCTATATAATTAATATTTATCAACTGCTATTATATCAACTTACATAGAAGGAACCTTATGTTCATTTTTCGATCCGATCATCATCAAAAATATATCTACATTCATTTAGATAAGTTACTTTTCTAAGGGTGAAAGGAATGATCAATTATTATTATTTGTTTATATTAAAAGTATTTATACTATATTTATTGATATTTTAATTATTCAAATGCAGTAAAATCATAGTTTATTTAAGTGATATATTAAACACAGAACAAGTTATTTAAAACAAAGGTTTTTAACATTTCAAAATATTTGACATTTTGATGAATACTAAAACTGTTAAGAATAAAGAGTGAAACTATTGTTACACTCAATTAACATTTTGCTATTATTTATCATAACTATAACTGAAATTTAAAAAAATCATCAACAGAATAAAAAAATTTATTTATTTTTGTTTGATCATAAATAAACCAGTATTTGCAAGAAAAAGTAATAATGAAAAAAAATATTTTTTTTAAGAATTCAATGTACCAACAAAAGATCTAAAGTAGTAAAAAATTCAATACAAGAAATCAAATAATTAAGTAATTTTGTACTATATTTTAGGAAATTAATAAGTTTAAATGTAAAATAATTGATTGTTATTTGAGTTTTTTATGTGCTTATATGAAAAAAATAATATATAATATAAAATAACCTATATTGAAAGTTCATTAACCTACATTTTATATCTTAAACCAGTAAATTATATGAAATGATATATGATATTACTTGATCACGTTTTGTAGGAGTAACAGTATATTTGCAAACATTAAATGAAAAGTATATATAGTGGGGAGAGTGACCTAAAATAACAGTATTGTTTGAAGGATTTGACACTGACATTCGTTGTCCATTGCCAAGTACACTGACTCTTATTGATTCATAATGAAAATTATTGTTCTAATATTTGTATTTTTTGTTTCATCTACATCTGCTATACTTGTGGAATTATTCCAGTCAGTTTATGGACAGTATTTACAGCAAGGAATTCCTTTTAGGGAAAATACTTTTTTAGGTAATAAACCAATATTACGTGAGTATGATTTTATTGTCATTGGAGCAGGTCCTGGAGGCAGTGTTGTTGCAAACCGTTTATCTGAACAGTCAAATTGGACAGTTTTATTATTAGAAGCAGGACAAGATGAATCTGTATACACAGATATACCAGGAGCAACAGGGTTTTTCGATGCAACAGACTATAATTGGGGTTATATTGCTGAACCGGCAACAAATGGTTGTCTAGGTTATAAAAATAATCGTTGTCCATGGCCAAAAGGAAAAGGCATGGGAGGTTCATCAATTCTAAATGCCATGATTTACACAAGAGGGAAAAAAGAAGATTATGATACAATTGCAGCACTAGGAAATGATGGTTGGGCTTACAATGATGTATTGCCATATTTCTTAAAGTCTGAGAACAATTCAATATCAGAATATCAAAATTCGCCTTTTCATTCACAAAAAGGAAATTTACATGTTGAACGAGTTAGATATCATTCACCACTTGCTGACAAATTTATAGAAGCCGGAGGAGAATTAGGATTAAAAAAAAATATTGACTATACAATTAATCCAGAAAATGGAGTATCACGTTTACAAGCCACAACACTAAATGGACACAGAGTAAGTAAATTGATTAAATATTAATAAAAACAATGATTATCATTAGCCTACTAACTTAATTGTTGGCAAGGCAGTCATAGACAATGTATTTTAAACTTGTAAGTTCTGAACCAACACCTATTCAGGAAGGAGCTGAGGGGAATCATTTTTTTAACAACTACCACTCTTACCAATAAACTCGCATATTAATCACATGATCCCTGCAATAAATCACATAGAAAAATAAACTTTAATATTTTTTAAAAATATATACGATTATGAATACCTAACCTTTGATATTCCAAGTAACTATAGCAGTCCATATAATTGCCGTGCACCCATACCAAGTAAAATATTATGGATGATAAATAAATAATAACAATTTATAACTGGTTTATTTATTCAAAATTAAATAGTAAAGGTTAATTAATAATATATAGTGTACCTACTAAGCAGTGTATATTATTGTTTACTATGCTATTACATAATATAAGCTATAACACTTTTATTGTATGCATTAACATCTTACATCTATTACCAATATAATCTTGTACAACTTAAAAAGAAAGGCTAACAGATAAGTAACAAATTACTTTTCCCAGTAAATACTGACAAATTTTTTCCATTTTTTACCATTAAAAAAATGTCTTATGTTCAATAATTTTACATAAAAACCTAAAAATCTGTACCTTATACTCGGTTTCAAAAAATAATAATCTGTCAGCCGACCAATTTTTCTCAATGCTGAGTATCTCCTACCAACTACTTGGTGTTAGTGTTGTAGTGTGAAGCAGTTCTCAAAGTATCAATCGAATCATTCATGATGTGAAAGTTATTGTTCCCTTTTGAGACAGAGTATAGTTATGTCAATTAATAAACTCGCCATTGTTTTTGGTTTGAATTAGTTAAAATTTAATTATTATTTATTTAATTTTTTTTTTATGATGTACAATAATTCTAATAAATTGGTCAAATCGTTTATTCTTATGTGACACATATATTTATCATATAGTTACAAGTAGTACCAGGTAATACCTACATTTTTACCAGTTTTAGACTATTTTACAATTTTGTATATAATACTTGTTCTTTGTTCACATTAAGTGCTGCATAAAGTCTTTATCTAGGTGATAATTGTAATTAGTATATAATATATATTGATCCGTAGATTATTTAGTAAAAAAAAAAAGTAACATCATTACATTCATCGATTAAACAAATATAATTGTAAGGACAGTTATAATTGATGTTAAAATGTAATGATTAAAAACATTAGATACAAGTCTCGACATAGGTGCTTGAAATATACCAATAACAAATTATTCACAAATCCATCATACCCGATTCATAATTTTTTTGTACTCTTTTAAACTCTTTTATTTAACTCTGATAAGACATTTAAGCAAAATTGTGTTTAATTGAACTATTTATAATGTTAACATAGTAGTAACAAGTTACCTTTTTTAAAATTAATAAATTATAAACCAACAAACTCAACATAATAATAATATGTTCTATTGATGAAAAAGATTTACTCTTATACAATAAGATAATTATCTAATTATTTGTTTTTATAATAATTTGTTTCTGTTAAATGATTAATTTTTGTTGCATAGGTAAGTTCATCTAAAGCCTATATTCGCCCAGCCAAAAATCGTCAAAACCTCCACGTGGCTATATTCAGTCAAGTAACAAGAATACTTATTGATCCAATGACTAAAAAAACCACAGGAGTAGAATTTATTAAAAAAGGGAAACATAGAACAGTATATGTTAAAAAAGAAGTTATCTTATCTGCCGGTGCAATAAACTCTCCACAATTACTTATGTTGTCCGGAGTTGGACCAAAAGATCACTTAAACAATCTTGGTATACCCGTTATTCAAGATTTACCAGTAGGACAAAATTTACAAGAACACTATGGCACAGTCGGTATATTCACATAATTATTTTTATAACAACATGCTGGTTTAATTTTTGAATTGTTTCATTATTATTTTTGTTTTTACAAAAAAGTTAAGCCTATTGTATTATTGACTAATATACTTAATAACCATATGCGATCAAACAATCTTAAAAGGGAGTACTTGCATAAATTAAGTTAAAAATCTACAGAATATTTATATAAAAAATAAAATATTAGTTGATTAGGTATCCATCTCAATTGACATTCAGTTGTTTAATCTAACAACATATTACCTCAGTAAGATAATATTTAAGTTAAATTATAAAAAAATTTTATGTAGCTACACAAATTTACATTTATCTGATGGCACTCAAGTAATAAGTGGATTAAAGTATATACCATAGTTTCAATTTATTGTTTGGTACATTTTACACACCTCAACATAAAGGACTATAATTGTGACTGAAAAATTAAAATTTAAACTTTTGATTCCTTGTAGGTTCTTTATTGGTGTGATATGATCTAAAGTGCAAAAGTATGCTAAATATGAAACTTTGAGAAATTAATCATTTTTCAATAATTCACAAAGTCAAATTGTGTATGAACACATTTGGCTCCCTTAGAATGAACACACAAAATTGGTTAAATACCAATATGTTGAAACAATTTTAAAATTAAACTAGCTTTTTTATATTTTGTTGAATGTATTAACCAAATATTTAATGAAAATATTGTGTTAATTATTGTTTAGCATTGGAATTCATAGTAAATCAAACAGGTCCATCACTCAACCCTCAAACTCTATCAAATATTCATTTATTTGAAGAATGGTTCAAATATGGTAGAGGTCCACTTACAGTACCAAGAGGAGTAGATGGTTTAGGTTATATAAGATCACCGTCGGGCAAAGAGATTGAATTAATATTTGCCCCTTTATCAGAAAAACCAAATGCATTTCTCATGGCTACTTTGTTGTTGCAACCAGATACTCGTGGAAGCATAAGTTTGAAAAGCAATGATCCATTACATCCACCCATCATGTCATATGGTTATTATGACAGTAATACTGATTTAGAAGACAATGTATATGCGCTTAAATATGCAGTAAAATTAGTAGAAGAAACACAAGCATTTAAAGATGTCGCAGCCAAACTTAACCCAGAACCATATCCAAACTGTAGTCACGTAGTATTTAGATCAGATGATTATTGGGTGTGTTTATCGAAACACTTGACAAGTTCATACCATCACCAATGCAGTACATGTAGGATGGGTGATGTTGTTAACAATAAATTACAAGTAATTGGTATTCAAGGATTAAGAGTAGTTGACAGTTCAGTACTACCCCATATTCCAAGTGCACATCTTTACGCCCCTACTATAATGATAGGCGAAAAGGCGGCAGACATGATTTACAGTTATTGGTCATACAGTCAATGACAAATTCAATTAACTATTTATTTATTTATTTATACTTCAAATAATATTATACCTAATAATAATGAAGATACAAGTACATAGAAATACCATAACTTACCAGAAACAATTAGAGCTTTATTTGGTCCAACAGTGTGTATTTGTCCCATTTTTGTGTTATTAAAAAATGATTTTATGTTAATTTACAAACAATCATAAATACAACAATTTAATTTATTAAAACAAATTACGTGTTTTTGTTCTGCCCTACAATCAACGGTTAATCTTTAATTACTATTTACTACAATAATTTCGCACAAACACTGAAAAAAAAACATTTGATTGTTATAATTAGTGATGGTGACTGAAAGGCAAGCTAAAATTAATAAGATAAATGTAAATATGAAAAAACGATATCATAAACTGTCCAAAAATAAAATAAATATTACGCACAATTACGAGTTGAAGGATACAAAAATTTTTTTTTTAAAAAACTAAATATTATTGGATAGTTATTGACATTTTAAACAAGTATCTATCACACTCAGTTCTCAGTACAAAACTAGGTAGATAACAATATAACATTGGCAATTGGTTTGTTATTATTATTTATTCAAAACATTTCAGCCGACGCCGAACTGTTCAGTGGTACTGCATATGAGATATTATAATACCACAGATGAATTGAAACATTTCTGAAATATGAATTTATGGTACCACTGTGATATATTGCCGTTAAGCGGTATCACCGAGATAATAATATTTCTTATCTATCTCGATGAGCGGTATCGCAAACTTACAACAGAACAGCTGCACCCACAGAATATATATTTATGTATTTTTACTATTATGTACATAATATATCGAAAACTTAATTGTATGTTTAGTGTTTTACGTGGTCAATTAATAATGACATAAAAAGTAAGGAAAATAGGTTAATTCTGATTCCACCTAAACGTTGAGCATGAAAATACTGACGTTTCCTAAAAATGTGAATTTTTCGTGTTTTAAACTCAAAAACATAATTTTTCAGAAAATTGAGAATATTAAAGTTTTTTTACTATTACTTACAAATTCAGTTGGAGCCGTTTTTTTTTAGATGTACCATTAAATTAGGTGGGCAAAAGCAACATTCCCTCCAAACACCAATGGGTATATTTAAACAAAAAGACTACAATTTTTGAACAAATATTTATTTCTACCTATGTTAATATAAATAATAATTAACCCTTATGAGTTCATATAGTTCAGTTTAAATACTTAAAAGAAATGGACGTGGTATTGGTACATGGATTACAATTATTGTAATTTATTCTTATTATTTATTAAATAATCTTTATTACATTTTATTGATCTGACATTTCATAGTAAGAAGTAAGTACAAAAATTATCGCGATTTAAATCCTATAAATTAGTAAGTACCTTCAAAGTTATAATTTGGAATCATATTATACCATCATTAATAATGTATCAATAATATTTAGATTAATGATAACTAAATAAATAAATCGTACAATACACATAATATTTATATTTCCTATATCGACCTTCTTAAAAAAAGATCATTTGTTTGACTTATCACAAACGTGTTTTTAAGGATTTTGATATAGGCAATTTTAATAACTATATAAATGTATACTTTATCTTTATTCTTTATAGTTTATAATAATATTATGCATAATAATCTACTTATAAAATATTATTATATTTTATATAAATGTTTTGCTGGCCTTAATTGAAAATATATCAAATAATAATCGGAAAGAACGTTATTATGTTAGGTACGTACTGCGTATACCGTACTCTGCGCCGTGGAAATGTACTATTATGACATTTTGTGCTAGGTAGCTTAGATGTCATAGTGCCATGTGGTGATTTTTGAACTAACTTCAAAACAAGGAAATTCTCTAGCTGGGGGCCACAACAAAACAGGGAATACGTCCAAACTACCATTTAGAAAACTACATTATTAATAATTATATACTATATACATAGACGCATATGACACTCGCATAGCAGAACACTGTTACTTTCATAAAAACAACTTTCAATTAATATGAAACTGCCAATGTATTTATATTTTATAGTTTACAAGTTCAAAATGTTCAACACTAAACTATTAGGTACATTTTTGTAAATGCAATTTAATAATAATTTAAGTTAATATAATACACATATATATAAATGCTTAAATTCAGTGGTGCCGATGTTTAAGCATTTGGTAGGTTATATGGAGGTTTTATAGGATATAAAACTAATAACGTAAATCGTCCACCTAGGTCAAATACAAACTTCAATGGTCTGAAAAATTTAAAATCACAAACATGACAATATAGTCTAGGTGCCTACATTTTTTACTTAAAGGTAGTTCCTAATTATTTGTATATATAGTAAAACCTCTTCATATCGGAATCGATCGGTGCCAACCGCCGACAAATTTTTCCGTTATAATATAAGAGTTCCCGTTATAAAGAGACTAAAGTAAACCAGATGTGGGTTATTCAGGAATGCTGTTATTTGCCGTTGTGAGGTGATTTTCTTTTTTATCACTCACCTTTTAGACCATTAAAACTTCTTAGAATTTAAATTTCAATATCTTATTGGTTTGAAAGTGTATTTTACGACAATAACACTTTCTGGAAACCTTCTTGCCTCCTTTTTTAAATTTATATTGTTAAATATTTTGATTTTCTGTCAAAAATATTGAAAATTGAATTCAGTACATCTTATTTCAGAAGTTGGAAAATATCAAACAAATACAACTATTTATAGTTTAACCACTTAAATTTATTCCAATAGCCTACTTAAAAATTACAAGTAACACTAACCTAGATTTTTTGATCACTGTGCAAAAATATGGCGGTAACTTTTATTTATTATATTTATAAATAATACTGCTAATAATAAAACTACATACTGTATAGTATATATAGTAGGGAGAATTAGAAAATAAAACAGTACTGTTTAAGATTCGGACAAAGCTGAAATCGGTTTATCATAGCCAAGTGGTCCATCACATAAAATTCACATTTATACAAGTGATATCATGAAAAATATTTTTAAAATATTCGCATTGTTAATTTTTCTTTCATCCTTAACTGTAAGTCAATTATATCAGTCAAACTATGAACAGTATCAGCAACAAGAGATTCCATTCAGGGAAAACAGTTTCATAGGTAATAGACCTATATTAGATGAATATGATTTCATTGTCATCGGAGCAGGCGCGGGAGGCTGTGTGGTTGCAAACCGTTTATCTGAACAGTCAAATTGGTCAGTACTTTTATTGGAAGCGGGTCAAGATGAATCAATATACACAGATATACCAGGGGCAGTACTATTTTTAGAAGAAACAAACTATTATTGGGGTTATACCGCTGAACCCGCAAAAAATGGTTGTCTAGGTCATAAAAATAATCGTTGTCCATGGCCAAAAGGAAAAGGTATGGGAGGTTCATCAATTGTAAATGCCATGATTTACACAAGAGGGAAAAAAGAAGATTATGATACAATTGCAGCACTAGGAAATGATGGTTGGGCTTACGATGATGTATTGCCATATTTCTTAAAATCTGAGAACAATTCAATACCAGAATATCAAAATTCGCCTTTTCATTCACAAAAAGGAAATTTACATGTTGAACGAGTTAGATATCATTCACCACTTGCTGACAAATTTATAGAAGCCGGAGGAGAATTAGGATTAAAAAAAAATATTGACTATACGNATTAAACCAGAAAATGGAGTATCACGTTTACAAGCCACAACTCTAAATGGACACAGAGTAAGTAAATTGATTAATTATTAAAAAAAACAATTATCAGCATTAGCTAGTAGCCTTCTAACCTTATTGGCAAGTTACAGTCGTATGCTATGTATTTTAAACTCATAAATTCTATGCCAACAACTATTCAGGGAAAAACCAGTGGCGTACACACGTTGATATTTTTTTTACTGTACATAATTAAGTAAAATACTCCCACCCACCCACCACATTTTTGTTTTTAAATTAGAGTCTGCCAAATCATAGTATAAAATCAACGTAAGATTATTCAGATTAAAATTAATTTCAATTTCATAACAATTAAAAATTACAGGGATTCGTTAAATAATTTTACATTTTCAAATTTATTTTTATCTCATGAAATCCGATAATAAAAACTAAAAAATAGTCATAGTATGTAATATTTATTGAGACTTGTATCTACTACCTGCAAGACTGCACGACTGCGTAGACTGTACTATTACGAATTAAGGATAATTTGTCGTTAATATACAATATATTATTTATTAATGTATTATTATAATAGTATAATATTGTATAGTTAGATTACACAGCCTGTAACTTGTGGACTGTTATTATTACAATGCCAGCAAGAAGTGCAATTTTTAAATTGAAAATTAAGGAGCACTAATACTATGTGTAATGTGTTAATACTAAAAAATTAAAATTATGTTTGGTGGGGACAAAAATGTTACATTACACAAGCGAGTACGAGATCGATACATACAAAATATGTATGTTACATGTTATCTATACAATAACTTCTTGTCTTCTTAATAAAGTCTAGAATGTTTTTGTAGAAAAAAAATGACGGTGGATATAAAAGAATTTCACCTAATATCTATATTCGCTTTGCCTATACACAATTTTAAAAATATTTTAACTCTTTTTAAGCTATTTATATGCCTAATAAGATTTCGAATACCATTCAATTTTTTTTTATTATCGAAGAAAAATAAATTTTGGTAGATCAAAAACTTGTAAATCCGCAACATATTTTTTTATGTGCGTCTGAAGTTAGAATTTTGGCGATAAAACAATTTTAATTTTTGTAAATACATTGTGGGTGCTGTAAAAAAATAAATAAATTGTTATATATTATTTTAGGTAGCTTTATAAAATTATACATAAACTAATCACTAATATAAATAAAAAAATTCTTATGTAATGTAGCTAATATATAGGGTAGTAATAGTTAAAAATGTTAAGTCGCAAAATTATAGCTCTAAATCCCCCTCCCCCTCACCATAAATTTTAAATATAAGCCCCAGCCATTGAAAATAGCTATGTACGCCACTGGAAGGAATCGACTAATATGAGTTTAGTACTATTTCTAATTAATTTGTTAAAATCATGCTTTTTCATCCCGGTTTGATAAAAAAAATTATTCATTGGTAGTTTGGTAAATTACTTTTATAAAACAATATCATATTTAAATATAACTGAAATTATAATGATTAATTAATATGATATAACATTAAAATTAATAAATAAGAAAATGAGAAGCGACCATTTATTAACAATAGGAATTGCCAATATTTTGAAGTCAATGTATAAATTTATATTTATTTGTATTATTTTAACTTCTAAATAGATATTTTTAAAATAATATCATATTTAAATATAAATGACGATATTTATTATTAAAATTAATAATTAAGAAAATGAGAAATAAAATATATTTCGATTTTTGATCTCAAGTATTGTCAATAACTTAACTATTTATTTTCGTAATTTAGCGACCATTTATTAACAATAGGAATTGCCAATATTTTGAAGTCAATGTATAAATTTATATTTATTTGTATTATTTTAACTTCTAAATAGATATTGTATTTGTATAGGTAAGTGCATCAAAAGCTTTTATTCGTCCAGCCAGAAATCGTCAAAACCTTCATGTGGCAATACTCAGCCAAGTAACAAAAATACTTATTGATCCAAAAACGAAAAAAACCACTGGAGTAGAATTTATGAAAAAAGGAAAACTTAGAACAGTTTATGTCAGAAAAGAGGTTATTTTATCTGCTGGACCAATTAATTCTCCACAATTACTAATGTTATCAGGCGTTGGACCAAAAGATCACTTAAAACATCATGGTATACCAGTAATCCAAGATTTACCAGTTGGAAAAAATTTACTTGAGCACTATGGCACATTGGGTATGTTTAATTTAAGTAATAAGTATTTATATAACTTTCGAGTTTAAGATCTACATTTTTCTATATTCATTTTTATAGTCGAAATTAATTACTTAAAGTATTACTTAATTATTAACATAGATAGTTATCTATGTTAATTGAATCTACTATCTTAGTTAAGCGATAAAGCTAATATGTAATCATAGATAAATTTGTCAAGAAGTTTTTCCTTAAAAACTACTTTCAATTTTTTGAATTTGAACTCTTCAATTTGTCTACATTTGTTATTAAAATATTAATAATATTCAACTCAAAAAAGTAATTTAAATATGTAAGAACGACGTGTGAGAGTGAATTTAAAATGAAACTTGAATTTAGTTTCAGAATTAATATTGGAAATACCTCAATTGGTTAGGCAAAAGGTATATTTGGAAAAATATTAATACTTTTAGTCTTTAGTCCACAAAATACAAAATAAATAATATCCGCTGAACTACTGTGGCTCTGTGTTCTGTTGACTTCTGCGTAAGAATGTAGAGTTTCGTGTCCCTTTATTTGTATTCTTTCTTCTACTGGAGTAACTATACATTTTTAAATAATCATTTAGTATCAATTATACACAAGAATATGCATGCACTATAAAAAATCACCTATAATTTCCAAAAATAAAATTCAAATTGCCTTTTTTACTAAAGGTATAAACTATAAAAATTCATCATTATTTTACATAATATTAATTTCTTTAAGTATATTTTCATATTTTATATATCAGCATGGGCTACATCAAAGAGTTTATCGAGATTCTTCTGCCAATTGTTCTCTTTTTAACCTTTGGGATCGCTTTGCTTATTTTTCTTTATTTTTTTAAAGTTTTTGCCATTCATTAAATATAATTTCAATTGTATTTATAATAATATGTTTCTGAAGTCTTGTGGGTTTTCTAGCCTTATCCCAAATTGTCATAACAGTAACAGCAGTAAACCGAGCAGAATCCCTAATAATTGTCTTAATAATATTATTATGGTAAAAATATAAACTCATTACCTCTTTTTTTGAAGGAAATTTAGTTTCAATTAAATGTTGTAACATCTGACCGATCAACCATACTTCAGTCGTTCGTCCCGTCGAAACCGCTGTATTAATACTAGTTGCCATAATACACGTGTTAATAAACTATAGTAACTGCGAGATTAACGTTAAAAAAATTAATTTAGCACAAAATAAATATAAAAATTACAACAATTTCGAACATTAAACACAAATACAACAGCAATGTCAACTGATTATGAATTTGTGACCAAGACGCCCGTTGTAAAATATGTTTCTTGCTATCTTTATGAGTCTATAGAAATTATCGATTATAATTATTTTTGGCGTAATTGTAGCATTATTTTATCTGCTGGTAGCGACCTTTAAAACCTAATCAATATACCTGAAAATGTTTCTATAGTTCATTAATATCATGTAAAACAAATTGTCAAGGTGCCCCAATAATATTTTAAAAGTTAAATTTTAAGCACCACCCTAATATACACACTGATATTTTCAAATTCAATGTTTTCGACAAAAATAAATTTAATTTATTGCATTATTAGTGGTAAAATAAATTACTTAAGTTTTTTTTTTTTTTTAAATAATTGACTTTATTTGGAGAATTGCAATCTATACATTTTTGTACAATAAGTAATATTAATAATATTTACACAGTTGACAGAGAAATAACATGAGGAGGAAATCACACATTTGTGACACCTCTTAAAATAATTACTTAAGTTAGTAACAATAATATCATTAAAATATATACACTTAGTTATAATTGCTGACAGAGCATCTTTGCTCAGAATAGTTTTTCGTATATGCACTATTTTATATCATTTTTTTTTTTTTTTTTTTTATTTTTTTTTTTTTTATTAAATAATAAAAATTAAAATAATTTAAAAAAATATATATCATTTAATTTAAGTTAAACGTAACCAATACATTGACCTGCTCAATACCTACTGGCTACTGTTCACAGAAACGTAATCAGCGAGGGAAGATATTAAGCTAAAGAGGTTATAGTTTATTTAAGCCTATATTATTATATAATATTATATATTAAAAAATATATATTATGGTGGTGGGTAGTTGGTGAGTGCCTATGTGTCTTGCACTAGGTCACAGATAGTTTACTACTACCGCATTCCGGTGAAATAGTTGAAGTTTAACTAACTATTTGGTATATTGAGGTAAAGATTATCCACACGGTCTTTAATGAATACAGTAACTTAAATAAAATACATTAAAACCACTTCTGTGCAGGGGCTATTTGAAAATTAAACATTTTTTTAAAAACAATGAAGATAATGGTCACGATTTATTTTAATTTAAGCTGTATGTATTATATAATATAATAAACCTATATTTTTAAATATTATATTTTTGCAGCTATCAAATTTGAAGTAAATCAAACTGGACCAGCGCTGACGAACCAAACCTTATCAGACCCACATTTATTTGAAGAATGGTTCAAATATGGCAGAGGGCCATTAACAACACCAGCCGGAGTTGATGGCTTAGGCTATATTAGATCGCCATCGGGCAAAGGGATTGAATTAATATTTGGTCCGATATCGGATGAACCCAACATGTTTTTAATTGCTACATTGCTATTGCAACCAGACGGACGTGGAAGCGTAAGTTTGAAAAGCAATGATCCATTGGATCCTCCCATTATGTCCTACGGCTATTATGAAAACAATAATACTGATTTAGAAGACAATGTATATGCACTTAAATATGCAGTGAAATTAGTAGAAGAAACAAATGCATTTAAAGATGTCGCAGCTAAACTAAGACCAATACCACTACCGAAATGTGAACATTTACCATTTAGATCTGACGATTATTGGGTTTGTGTATCAAAGCACCTGACATACACCTTCCACCATCAATGTAGTACATGTAGGATGGGAGACGTTGTCAACAATAAGTTACAAGTAATCGGAATTCAAGGATTAAGAGTAGTGGACTCATCGATATTTCCACATATACCCGATGCACATCTGTACGCCCCGACTTTGATGGTTGGTGAAAAGGGAGCAGATATGATTCGAAGCTATTGGTTAAAGTAATTTATGAACTATATTAGTAATAAATAATAATAATAATAATAATATTTATTTATTTATTAATTATAAAATGTAATAAGTGATGTACATTTTTTTCATTTTGTATAGACATTCGTAAAAAACAAACTTTAGTTTTATCTTTTTTAAAATGTGTAGTTGAGTATTTTACTTTTTTACCCACATTAAAATGTAATAAATTACATTATATAAATATAATTTTTATTTGTTCCACATATTCTGGTGAAACGGGGCAGATATGATTCAATGTTTTTAGTTACTTTCGTAATTTAATAGAATCTATATTTATTTATACTATCTATTAAATAATAATGGTTTATTATGTTAAATATATTCTTTATTTGTCCTTGTATATATATGATGATTGTATTCTACCAGTAATAAACTGTAAACATACAATTTTAAGGTGATGCAAATTTTTATATTTAATTTTTTTTAAATAATTAATAAAGTTCATGTAAATAATTTGTTTTACTTTAATTTTCGAACTGGGATTTAACTTCATAAGAGACGATAGTTTTCTAGAAAAAAAACTTATTTAATAATATGTAAATAATTTTATATTTAATTCTGTATTTTACATTTTTACACATACAAACTTAAAAAATAGAACAAAAAACAAGAGGAAGATGTAGAAAATCACTTCGTTGTATGGTAGGCGTCGAGTGTAGTAATTTACCTCATCATTGAAAAGGTTACTGTTATGGATGTGTTAAATTTTAATTCATTAATAGATTATTTCAAACGAAAAATGATTCTAAACCGGGATGGTCTGCCAGATTTTTTTAGTATAGTTATTTATTACTAACTATAATGTGTAATCAAAGATTTATATTTGTATTATAGGTAGTAATAATTAATTTTATTATTACTAATATGGTTAGGTTAATAATTGCCGAAAACATTGAATTTCAAGGTGTCATTGTTTTCACAAAGTATAATAATTATGTATTATGATAGCTTTAAATTCTCTTGAAAATATTTTTTTATTTCAACAAAATAAGTAATAACTATCAAAAAATTGTACTTATATACTTTTAGGTTTCAGTATCAAATACGTACGGGAATTTTCAAGCTTAAGCTAAATAAAAGAACATTTAATACTTTTACTAATTTCACCAATTTTCAAGAAAAGTACTCAGAATTTATTACTTTAGACTCTCTGAATTGACTTTCTAACCAAAAGAGATATTTAAATTCTAAATCTGAAATTAAATCAGCCAACTAACTAATAACAATTTAAATTACTTTAATAAGATATCAAAAAATATACTTAGTAATTTTGGCCTGCAAACGAACTCAGATGATCAGAGAATTGTTTTTTGTATGCAATAATTTAACACGACATTATAATATTATGGTTACCAACTCAATGATGACTTACACTCGACAGTCGACCCCTAATCGTAAGTTTTAGGTACAGCAGAAAATCATTCTGAAAACCTATTTTCCTCCTTTTTAAAAATTTAAATTGATAAATACATTGTTTTTTTGTCACAAATCTTGAACATTTGACTTTACTGACTGTTATTTCAGTAGTCTATAGAGAAAATATCAAACATCTACAACTGTTATGTGACTACCTTAATTCATTCCAATAGCCTACTTAATTATTTCGAGTAACAGTAGTAACACTAACCTACATATTTTCTTGACCCCTGTAAAAAGATATAGAGGTAACTTGTATGTATTTGTAAAATATAAGATACAAAATACATACTATAGTAGGGGAAGTAAGTTCATACAACAGTGTTGTTTGAGATTCTGACAAGGCTGGCATCAGTTAATTATAGCCAAGTGCTCCTCCACTTATATACTCGTCGCTCGTGGTATCATGGAAAATATTTTTATAATATTCACATTGTTAATTTTTTTTTCATCTGTAACTATAAGTCAATTGTATCAGTCAAACTATGTACAGTATCAGCAACAAGAGATTCCATTCAGGGAAAACAGTTTCATAGGTAATAGACCTATATTAGATGAATATGATTTCGTTGTCATCGGAGCAGGTCCAGGAGGCTGTGTGGTTGCAAACCGTTTATCTGAACAGTCAAATTGGTCAGTACTTCTATTAGAAGCAGGACAAGATGAATCTGTGTACACAGATATACCAGGGGCAGTACCTTTTTTAGAGGACACAAACTATAATTGGGGTTATACCGCTGAACCAGTGACAAACGGTTGTTTAGGTTTTAAAAATAATCGTTGTCCGTGGCCAAAAGGAAAAGGCATGGGAGGTTCATCAATTATAAATGCCATGATTTACACAAGAGGAAAAAAAGAAGATTATGATACAATTGCAGCACTAGGAAATGATGGCTGGGCTTACGATGATGTATTGCCATATTTCTTAAAATCTGAGAACAATTCAGTACCAGAATATCAAAATTCACCTTTTCATTCACATAAAGGAAATTTACATGTTGAACGAGTTAGATATCATTCACCACTTGCTGACAAATTTATAGAAGCCGGCGGAGAATTAGGATTAAAAAAAAATATTGACTATACGATTGATCCGGAATATGGAGTATCACGTTTACAAGCCACAACACTAAATGGACACAGAGTAAGTATATTGATTTACTATTAATAAAAACAATGATTATCATTAGCCCACTGACTTTATTGGCAAGTGAGTCATAGAGGTACAATGTATTTTAAACGTATACGATTTAAACCATCAAGTATTCAGGAAGAAACCAATTATGTTCACTAATATCACTGAGTAGTAGTACGAAATAAAATAACAGTACTCTTTACATTAATTTATTAAAAATCACACTCTTTCCTCCCTGTTTGATAAAAAAAAATTATTCGTTGGTAGTTTAGTAAATTACTTTTATAAAACAATATCATATTTAAATATAACTGACGATATTTATTATTAAAATTAATAATTAAGAAAATGGGAAATAAAATATATTTTGATTTTTGATCTCAAGTATGGTCAATAACTTAACTATTTATTTTCGTAATTTAGCGACCATTTATTAACAATAAGAATTGCCAATATTTTGAAGTCAATGTATAACTTTGTATTTATTTGTATTATTTTACCTTCTAAATAGATATTGTATTTGTATAGGTAAGTGCATCAAAAGCCTTTATTCGTCCAGCCAGAAATCGTCAAAACCTTCATGTGGCAATACTCAGCCAAGTAACAAAAATACTTATTGATCCAAAATCGAAAAAAACCACCGGAGTAGAATTTATGAAAAAAGGAAAACGTAGAAAAGTTTATGTCAGAAAAGAGGTTATTTTATCTGCTGGACCAATTAATTCACCACAATTACTAATGTTATCAGGTATTGGACCAAAAGATCACCTAAAACATCATGGTATAAAAGTCATCCAAGATTTACCAGTTGGAAAAAATTTGCTTGAGCACTATGGCACATTGGGTATGTATAATTTAAGTACCTAATGAGTATTTGTTTAACTTTCGATTTAGGTGAAAATGTAAATGTAAATTTTTGAAGAAAATTTTTTTGTTTTGATTTTTTTTAGTTATTAATATTATAATTATTTTTGTATTCTTGACTACACATCTGTAAGATACTAAGATGAAGTAAACAATTATTTATTGGGCTCTCTTAACAGTTTTAATATAAACTCTATATTGTTCTGTTCTAGACATAGACTAATCCTGTCTCTTGATTCAGAAACATTAGGTATGCCGTATGCATTTACATGACATAATTTGAGGTATAAGGCATGATCAAGTGACTGAGTGACCGATGCACAGTTAGCCATTATGTATTTCATATGGATTTAAAATTCCGAAATTTGTTATCCAAACAGTTCAAATTCTTGACCATGTTGTTATACAAAATATATGAGGATCACGAGGATTTAATACACAAATATTAATTTAAATAATTACTATAATGATTGTCTTCGATTGTCCGGTCCAACTTGCTTTTTTATAAAAAAAAAAAAAATAGAGTACAAAAATGCATCATGATTTCACATAATATTAATCAGTATACTAAAATCACTGCAACTGATCATCATTACGACATTACACATTAAAATGTGGTACACAAAAATATCACTATAATAATACAATTATTTTATTGAGATATTATGAGCCAAAACACATCAAAAATCTCAACAGCAGTGTGGCATTTGTTCATATTTTTATATTTAAAATAAAAATATATCGGAATTTTGGGTTGGTTGGTATTGTGAACTTGTTATAATATTTTGATGTTTCAAAATTTTTATTGATTTTGATTTTGAACACAATTCATATTTTATTATAATATATATTATATATTTAGTTTACGTTTATACAATCACCATCGCCCTACACAATGGATCCGATTTGAATTTGCAGTGCCGGTTTATCTATATATAAGGTTTATAATGATTGTGGGTGGTTGGTGAGAATCAATGTATCTTGCACTAGGTGGAACATACCACGGTTGAAGATTTTCAACTATTTGCTTTTTGTTTTGGTAAAGAACTATCCACAGGTTTACGCGAAATACTGTAGTAGCCTAAATATAATAATTCAAACCACTTTTGCCCAGGGGCTATTTGAAAATTGTACATTTTTTTAATAACAGTGTAGATAATGGACAGGTTTTATTTTTAATCAAAATTTGTATGTATATTATAATATTATGATACACCAATATTTCTAAATATTATATTTTGCAGCTATCAAATTTGAAGTAAATCAAACTGGACCAGCATTGACGAAACAAACCATATCAGATCCTTATTTATTTGAAGAATGGTTTAAATATGGCCGAGGACCTTTAACAGCACCGGGAGGAAGTGATGGCTTAGGCTATATTAGATCGCCATCGGGCAAAGGGATTGAATTAATATTTGGTCCGATATCGGATGAACCCAACATGTTTTTCGTTGCTACATTGCTATTGCAACCAGACGGCCGTGGAAGCGTAAGTTTGAAAAGCAATGATCCATTGGATCCTCCCATTATGTCCTACGGCTATTACGAAAACAATAATACTGATTTAGAAGACAATGTATATGCACTTAAATATGCAGTGAAATTAGTAGAAGAAACAAATGCATTTAAAGATGTCGCAGCTAAACTAAGCCCAATACCACTACCGAAATGTGAACATTTACCATTTAAATCTGACGATTATTTTGCGTGTGTATCAAAACACCAGACAAATACTTACCATCATCAATGTAATACATGCAGGATGGGAGACGTTGTCAACAATAAGTTACAAGTAATCGGAATTCAAGGGTTAAGAGTAGTGGACTCATCGATACTTCCACATATACCCCATGCACATCTTTATGCTCCGACCCTGATGGTTGGTGAAAAGGGAGCAGATATGATTCGAAGCTATTGGTCAAAGTAATTTAAGAACCATTATTTATAAGTTATTATATTTATTTTATTTATAATA